TATATATATATATATATATATATATATATATATATATATATATATCGGTATACTGGTATACCTAATATGTATGTATGTATGTATGTATGTACTGGAGCCTGAACTCAGCGCTTTGTCCCCACTAGGTAAATATTTTATCACTTGAGCTAAAAAGAACCTCCAACCCTTTTTGGCTTTAGTTTATTTTTCAGATAGGGTCTTTTTTATGCACAGGGCCAGTTTTAGAAAATAAACTTCCTACCACTGCTTCCATCCTAGTTGGACTTTCAGTAACAAACCAGTATGTCCAGCATGATTTTGAGATAGGGTCTTGTTAACTTTTGCCCAGGTGGGCTGTGAACATCAGTCTTCCTGTGTCTGCCTCCTATGTGATTGGGATTATAGGCCATTCATCACCATGCCCAGCCCTGTTTCAGACTTAAAAAAAAAAAATCAGGGCTGTACTACAAAGGGATATATTGAGCACCTTTGTGTCTTTCTATTGTGGCAGAATAGGAGCACATCCTAAATGTTATGTGCATCTTTGGTTTTTAAAATTGAAGTAACAGCTTTGGCTCCTAGGCCCATATAGATAATTAAAATGTGAAGTGAAAATTTTGATTCACTGTAATTACATTCAAATATCATCATAATTAGGTTGGTTTTTCAAGAGTCAAGGACTAAACTCACCATATTTAAGAATTCAAGGAACATAGACACATACACACAAATAAATTCCATCCCCACAAATCCAAACAAGGCATAAACAATTATTCTTGCTCTTTTACTAGATAATAGTAGGGAATCAGGATCTTAAAAAAAATTCCTAAGGTTACTCAGACATTCTAGATTAGTCTCATCTCCTAGTTCTGTTTCAGAAAGGTCTTAGAGACCTCAGTGGTCAGGCACTGTCAATCCAGAACTCTCAACCAGTAGTTTGACCTAAATCCCATTAACTATAGTCTAGATTTTTTCCTTTGCTCTTTTTCTATGGAAGAGAAGAGATTTTCACTGATCCTCCCAAACTAAACCATTGTAACTCCCTTTACCATCTTCTGTTGTTCCTCACGGGTCTGCTTTTCTTATTCTTTTTTCCCCTTGAATTATCTCTTAAGCCTTGCATGCTGAGTTCAAAGTAGAGCAAAATATTCAGCTCATCCAGATTTATAAATCTTTCTGTATATCTGGAATATTCTCAGTGAAAATTATACTTGTAAACATGGTTTCTGATATAGTACATTAACATTTTGAAAAATGCAGTTGTGAATGAAGTAAACAAATCCATTTTTAGCTTTCAAAGAAAGTCACATATCAGGATCCCCAGATGGATCAGTGATAATGTGAGACTATCATGCATTCCTAAGCCCAGTATGATTCCTGTTAGTTTTGTTTTTATATTGAAATAGGATCTGGTTAGCCACATCTGACCAATGATATTCAATGTATCTCTTATCAATGAAAGAAACAAAAGAATCCACAACAGTCAAAAATGGCTTATAAAGGGGTGACACTGTCCAAAAAGAAATGTACTCTTTACCTGACTTATATAACTATAACCCCTCTGTACATCATCTTTATAATAACAATAAAAATTTTAAAATGGTTTCTAATTCTTAAGTTTTGTTTCCTGCTTTAGGAAATATACTAATCCCTGTAGTTAAAAATTAAGTACTTTAGTTGGGTGAGAAAGTTAATAAGGCTGAATTTCTCTGGAGTATACAATACAAAAAGCAGTGTGGTACTGTAAGGTTTAGTTTTTTCAATAAGCAGACTACCAAGCCTGCTCTGAGTTGATAGCTTCATGATTACAGAGACCACAGACAATTGTATGGCTATTAAGAAAAAAACTGAAGTGTGGATCAGAGCAGAAAAAGACCCCTTGTATTTGGAAGAAGACTATTTAGTCTTTCTTCATATGAACTTACAGACTAAGCTGCAGATTGGGGTGAATGCCTTTAAGAGCAGTTATATACATCAGAGGCCTTCTGTAAAATAGTTGATAAAAAATCTATTTTAGTAAAAGTCATTTGATCACATTTCTTTAACAAAAACCCAGCTAAAAATCAAAGCTAATTTAAGTTCTCTATAAATATTTCACTAAAACCTGACAGAACATAAATCAAGTCCCATTCGCATCAATGTTTGGAAAATAAGAATACTCATTGCCTGGGTAACAATATCCACACAGCAGGTCCCTGGTTACAGTCAATAACATAAAAGGGAAAGAGAATTTGCACATACTGTAAAAAGGGCACACATTCGTTCTATCTTCTCTGGGTTCCGTGGCCCACCATTCTTGTTCAGTCTCACCAGAAACCTCTCACTGAAATGCAGGAAAGAGAAATGTAAGGGAACTGTATGTTCAAACTAAAAAGGGCAGATACAGAAAAAACCCTGATCAAAGAGCCACAATCCATTCTTTCTCTTAAATCATTTGAGTAAAAAACTGTGTCTAACGAACTGTTTGTCAATCATCTTTCTCTACAGAAAAGATCAGACATTCCTCTTTAATAAGCTGTAAGTACACAACGTTTAGTTGTCTTTATAATGATGAACTATGGACATCCAGTGAACGAAGACTTTTTAAAACTTAATTCCATAATTTGCATTTTTGACAAGCATAATTTTAAGATCACTTGTTTTTATGAGCATTATAATCCCTGCATTGTACTACATTTTGACACACTTCATGAGGATGATTCATGTACCCTCTGAGCATGTCTGGTGTCTGCCATGAACTGGAAGAAGCAAAGTCTTTATCCTCAAGGACAGTCTTTTATAACAGTGTCTTGCTAATAAAAGCCATTTTCTCAAATAAAATCAGAGGAATTCCTCCAACTCTTTCAATTTAATTTTTTGCTTCCCATTTGGTCTTCCCCGGAGATGGACATCAACTACTTAGCATTTCTCTTGTGACAATTTGCCAGTTGGTGCTCTGACAACAGGCAAGAGGTCTCAAGGCTATACTACTCTCCTAGCAAAATAGGCTTTATTTTTTTTTTCTTTTTGTTGGTCGTGGGGCTTGAACTCTGGGCCTGGGCGCTGTCCCTCAGCTCTTCAGCTCAAGGCAAGTGCTTTACCAACTGAGCCACAGCCCCACTTCCAGTTTTCTGGTGGTTTAATGGAGATAAGTGTCTCATGGACTTTCCTGCCTGGGCTGGCTTTGAACCAAGATCCTCAGATCTCAGTCTCCTGAGTAGCTAGGATTACAGGCATGAGCCACTGGCGCCCAGCTCAAAATAGACTTTAAAACAAAGTCTTGGTTTTTTTTTTTTTGGTCCGTCATGAGGCTTGAACACTGGGCCTGGGCTCTGTCCCTCAATTCTTCAGCTCCAGGTGAGTGCTCTACCACTTGAGCTACAGCGCTACTTCTGATTTTCTCAGACTTTCCTTTCTGGGCTGGCTTTGAACTGATCCTCAGATCTCAGCCTTCTGAGTAGCTAGGATTACAGGCGTGAGCCACTGGTGCCCAGCTAACAAAATCTTTTTTTTTTTTTTTTGGTCGGTCATGGGGCCTGAACCCTGGGCCTGGGTACTGTCCCTCAGCTCTTCAGCTCAAGGCTAGCGCTCTACCAGTTAAGCCACAGTATGTGGTGCTGAGGAATCAAACTGAAGGCCTCATGAATGCAAGGCAAGCACTCTACCACTGAGCCACCATCCCAGCCTAACAAAATCTTTTTGAAAATAAAAATTCACAAACTTTTAATCTGAATTTTTCTTGATCTCCTGGTACTTCTCTTCATTCACTACTATGGAACAGGTATTAGTTGTAAATTTGAGGTTTTGCCAAATGGACACTAGGAATAAGGGAAGAAGTGACTACCAATTTGAGAGTCACTCTATCACTGGTTTTAGGCAAGGGTACAAATGAGAAAAGTATAGAATATGAACACAAATTAATATGAATCCATTTGTGTATACCAGTGGCTCATGCCTGTAATCCTGGCTACTCAGGAGGCTAAGACCTGAGGATCACAGTTCAAAGCCAGCCTGGGCAGGAAAGTCTATGAGAATCTAATCTCCAATAAACTATTCAGAAAAAACTGGAGGTGGCTGTGGCTCAAGTGGTAGAGCAACAGCCTTGAACAAAATAGCTTAGGGGCAACACCCAGGCCAAGTTCAAGCCCTGTGACTCAACACAAAAAAATTATATATATATGAATCCAGCCACATTTTTCAAAGTCATTTTTTCAACTACAGAATTACTGTTGAAAGTCTATTTTAGTCTACTATAATAACTTAATTCACATTGTATAACATTTCAGCTTTCACAAATCATATTTTAAGTACCAAGAGATCTCATCTTGAGATCAAAGGATGAAAGGGTGAGAGAAAGAGTTCTGAAAGACAATCCATTGTATGTATGTTCTCCTTCTTAGTAAGACCTACTCTGATTAAGATGGTAAAAATCTCTCTTATATTTTGCTTTGCTATTCTATAATACTTATCTTTTCAAATATACTGTAGAATTTATTTAGTTACTATATTAAGTAGGTATAAATATGTATATATTTGACTGCTTTCTCTGCTAGCATGGAAGACTTTCATTTTAGTGCCTTTGAGTAAGAGTTGATATACCTGGATATATAAGCAGAAGCATGTTCGGATAGCATGGCCACTGGTTTGAGATACATTAGCTTTAAACCCTAATTTGCATTCATTCTCTCTAAACTTTTGTTTTGAGTTATATTAGAAATTAAACTTATCAAAATGATGGGATTACAAATAATTTCATATAAATATCTATTTGTTGTTCATATAAATACCTATTTCTTCACTAATTCCTCATCGAGAAGGCACAGAGCTCTAGTTTATGGTGTGCCTGTGTGGGGGGAAGGAAGAAGATAGAGGGAGAAAGGGAAGGAAAGAGAGAACCATTGGTTTCTCTATAGCTTTGTAATTTTTAGGAAAGGTGCACATATTGACAATGTCAGACCAGAGAGAGCAGGGCAGAGAAAAAAAGTGGTGGTGACGCCGGGCGCTGGTGGCTCACGCCTGTAATCCTAGCTACTCAGGAGGCTGAGATCTGAGGATCACGGTTCAAAGCCAGCCCAGGCAGAGAAAGTCCATCAGACTCTTATCTCCAATAAAGCACTAGAAAACTGGAAGTGGCGCTGTGGCTCAAGCGGTAGAGTGCTCACCTTGAGCTGAAGAGCTGAGGGACAGCACCCAAGCCCCATGACCAACCAAAAAACAAAAGTGATGGTGACAGTCTTCAGGGTACTAGTTTATCTCTATCTCTGCTGGGACTTACAGGAAATCCTTGTGGGAATGTGGAGTAGTCAGCAATAGTCTACGTCTCAGACCAAGCTAAAACAGGTCCAACTATAACAACACTTACTTCAGGTCTATAATTCACAGCCCGAGTTCCTGCAGGTAAGCTCTAGTTGCATACAAGATATGACCTCATTCGCAGAGGGAAACAAAACTGTTAACTTTAATAAACAGAGTGCTCACTGATCATTTTAAATGAAAATTTCTCCCCAGGGGCTCCTGAGATCTTCTGAGTCAAATTATCTCATTTAGGTAGAATGCTTAACTATCAAGCAGAGTCCTCTATTTCAATTATAGAAGCAGCTGATTTTCAAGAAAAAGTTTACTCTACACAAGGGTATTTTGACTGCTGAGTAAATTTCAAGAGGAGAATATAAGGACTTTGCAGCTTGCTTTGCACAGCATCCATACAAAAGTGGCTAGTGAGGTGTTTATACATCCATGTTATCATCAAAAGAGGAAAGTTTCTGAAGGCAAGCATTGTGTACAGAAAGTCAGGTGAGTGATGAAATAAAACACTTGACATCCTGAGGTTTTGGAAGACTGCAAAATTTGCAGAAGTCCAGTGAGAGATCCAGGAATATTAACACTGCCTCCCAATGGTATACAGACAGTAAGTTAAACAATGACACTTTTGTGAATAAGGAAATTTATACAACAAAAAATATAGTGGCCAGGACTGGGAGTAGTAGCTTACACCTGTAAATACTAGCTACTTAGAAGGCTGAGAAAAAGATTGGAGGTGGAGACCAGTCTAATCAAAAAACGCATTATTGCACAGAGCAAGTTGAGCATTGGGGTGCACGTCTGTAGTCCTACCTACTTGGGAGACTAAGAAAGGAAGACTGGTCAGAGATCAGCCTGGGAAAATGCTGTTTCCAATCTCAAAAAAAAAAAAAAAACAGCTAAAGCTAAAAGAATCAGCAGCAGGACTCAGGTAGTGAGAACTGGATTTTGGGCTCTGTGCGTTCTAGGCAAGCACTTTACCACTTGAGCTCCACCTCTGGGCCCCATTCTATTATAGAAGCATGAATTAAGACTACTAATAAAGACTACTACTAATAATTAAGACTACTAATAATAAAGACTACTGGGAAAATCATTTGTCTAGAAAGGTACTCTTCACTAATTCAACTCCACATTCCTTTAGTCATGTGAATTCCTCTTCCTTTCAACATATCCAATAAGCCAGGTATTATTTCTAGTTTCATCTTTTTCCCCCAGTACTTAGCACTACATGCTCTACCCGAGCTGCATCTTCAGCCCTTTACTTTCATCTTTTAAAGGAAATCTCTCTTAACAAAGGGTGAACAAATGCAGCAGTGCTACAAACTAGACTCTAAATGAACTATACAACTTGTGGTGGGGACAGAAGGAAAAACTGGGAGAGCGCAAGGGAAGGGGTGACATTGTCCAAAAAGAAATGTACACTCATTACCTGACTTACGTAACTGTAGCCCCACTGTATATCACTTTTATACCAACAACAAAGTAAATTTTTCTAAAAGGAAAAATTTCTCCTAGAGCCTTTTTGACCTGTTCAAATACTAACCAGGTGATCTGCTACTAAGCAGACATCTTGATATTTCTTGTTATCAACATCTGAGATACTCCTTTTCTTTTTTCTGTGTTACATACCCTTTTTCCTTAGATCCTAAGTTAGTCTCTTCCTTTACTTATTCCCTTTATTTGGTGGATCACATATTAAAGCAGCTCCTTAAAAAACAGTGCTTGAGAAATAGTTTTAAAAGAAAAAGAAGGGTGTCTAGGACTGCAGAGAATGCCACCACTGAGGAATATTAGTAAAGAATGAACTACAGAACTGGCTATGGCCCATTTCCCTAGTCTACTGTTCCTACCTTATCCCCTTCCTACCACAGCTCAGACTTTGTGAGGTATACTACTTTAACTTCTTGACCTATGATTGATAGACTGGACAGAACCACACTGGACCAAATGGAACCCACAAACCCAACCAAACAACTGAATAGAGTGGAATGTCATGCTAACCCCATCTTAGACCACTAACCTAGGCCCTTCCTAGGATAACCAGCTCCAACTAACTCTGGCCCTGGGAGGCCAGGCTTCCCAGCACCTTAAATGGAAAAAAAGAAATTGAACAATAAAATCATGACTCAGAAGGGGAAAAAAAAACCTTGTACATTTGGAAATACCTTTACCTTCCTAGGTAAATGATGCCAGTAAAGAACTTTAAACTGAGGGGGGGAAGGGGAGAGTGGGAGGAAGGAGGAATTCCCTCAGGATTTTTTTTTTGGAGGGGTGCTGGTTATAGGGCTTGAGCTCTGGGCCTGGGTGCCGTCCCTGAGCTCTTAGGCTCAAGGCTAGCTCTCTACCACTTGAGTCACAGTGCCACTTCCAGCCTTTTTTGTTTATGTGGTCCTGAGGAATTGAACTCAGGACCTCACGCATGCAAGGCAAGCACTCTACCACTGAGCCACTTTCCTGCCCAGCCTGGCTTTGAACCATAATCCTCAGAATTCAGACTCCAGAGTTAGCTAGGATTATAAGCGTGAGCCACAAACACCCAGCTAGGCTTTTTATTCTTGATCTTGGGTATGAACTTTTTTTTTTCATTTTTGTTTTCATTTTGAAGCCTTTAAGGTATTTGTCACTAGTGATTTAAAATAATATGCTTTGTATCTTGTTGTAAATGTATTTTATCCACTGTCTGCATACTAAATGGTCCTTCTGAATTGGAAATTTGTTTTAAAAATCTAAACAAAGTTTCCCTAATTACTTCACTGAGAATTTCCCTTATTTGCTTTGTTTCCTACTCTAGACTCCTATTTAAAAAGCCTGGATTTCCTGGACTTTACTCTAATTACTCATTTCCTTTTTTATTGTTTCCTCTGTACTCTCTGTTGTACTTTATTAACCTTTCAACTGAGATTTTCATTTTATCCATAGTGTTTTCATTTAAAGAGCCCTTGTTATTCTCTAAAAGGTCCTCTGCATGACATCCTATTCTTTCTTTTCAAGGATATAAATTCAGGTTAATATCTGATTTCTTTTTAGTTTCTGTGCTCCTACTAAAGGAGGACTTTAATAGGACTTCCTTTAGTATTTCTTATAAAGAAGGTCTACTAGTTTTTAACTTTTCAGTCTTTGCTTAACTCAGAAAAATCTTTAAAACTTTTTACTAGCATATATAAATATTAAAAAATAATAGGGTGCATGACATTTTTATACATATATACAATGTACTTGGATCATTCTCTATCTCTCTCTGTCTCCATGTCTCTGTGCTGGTACTAAAGCTTGAACTCAGGTCCTGGGTGCGCTTCCTTACATTTTTCCCTCAAAGCTAGTGTTCTACTTGAGTCATAGCTCCACTTTTGGCTTTCTAATGGTTAACAGAGATAACGAGTGTAATGGACTCTCTTGCCTAGGCCAGCTTTGAACTGAAATCTTCAGATTTTGGTCTCCTGAGTAGTTAGGATTACAGAAGGAGCCACTGGTGCCTACTTTAATCACCCTCATTTATCCCTGTTCTACCTGATAAAATCTTCATTGCACCTTTAAAAGAAATTATGATAAAACACAGACCATATAAAATTTCCTACCTAATTAGCTGGAATACCAGGCATAGTATCACCATGTCCAGCCATTGGTTGCAAAGGAATCCAGAACTCTTATGCCCAGGCTGGCCCTGAACTGAAATGTCTAGATGTCTGCCTCCCAAGTTGCTAGGATTTATAAGTTTGAATCATTATGCCCAGTTTCTTTCTCCATTTTTGTCTTATTGGGTAGTAAGAATTCTTTGCAAGTAATATGAATACTAGAACCTTCTTTATATGTATGTATGTATGTATACACACACACACACACAATTTACAAATATTTTCTCTAACTCTATGGGGCCCATCCTCCTTCCCTTCTTTGGTACTCAACTCAGGGCTTTGTACTTGCCAGGCAGGCACAGTACTAACTTGAACCAAGCCCTCTCTTGTAATTTTTCAGATAGGATCTTCAGTTTTTACCTAGGCCCAGCCTCAGATCATGATCGTCCTTCTTTTGTCCACCTGTGCAACTAGAATTACAAGTATATACCATTCATTCCTTGATGGTAAAAAGGAATGACAAAAGTATACTATCTTCCTTCTCTTCTGCCAAGAAGATTCTCTCCTCATCACAGGGATGGAATAGCATTGAAAGCTGGCCCTGTCCTCAGACAGGAAACTAATAGCCCTTTTCTCTGACTCTCTCACTCATATACAGCTAGTCAAGGCCCAAGGTTTTCTGCATTCTGGGCCCAGGTGTCTCTGATAACTTTGTTTTTCTCTGTTTCTCTTCGGCATTTTCTCTAAACAAAAGCTATTTTTTTCTCTCCCTGAGACAAAATTTTAAACTTCTATGTAAAAACAGGCAAATACTTGGCGGGGGGGGGGGTTATATATGTATGTATATACTATAATTTGGATATGGAGTTTCTCGCAGAGGTTTATGTGGTGAAGGCATGATCTTCAGCACTTTTGGGAAATGAGGTCTAGTTGGAGGAAGTAGGTTCCTGAGTCATACTATTGAAGGGAATACTGGGATTCTAGGCCCTTGTCTGTTTCTCTCTGCTTCCTGGCTACCAGGTGGTGAGTGGCTTTGCCCCATCACATTCTCCATCTCATGATGTTCTATCTTGCCACAGGTCATAAAACAATGGACACGCTGACCATGGAATGAAAGCATGAGTCAAAATAAGTTGTCTTCTTTGTAAGTTGTTTATATCAGGTATTCTATCACAGAGATGGAAAGCTAACACAACTCAGGATGGTTTAGATGACTTTGGATGCACTAGGAACTGAGACCAAACTCAACAGCTAATAAGATAGAGTTAGTTTCTTGGTCTGTGCATCCATCTTCTCTGAAAGTCAGAGTTGCCATTCTAATATACAGACTCATTCTCACTGAAACTTACTACTGACTCTTACCTGATCTGCTTGCCTTCTCTCATGTCGTATAGAGAAAAGAAGACATCAGTATCTTCCCCAATGGTATTATAGGTGAAACTCTTCAGGCTGAGGAAGAAGTGGTGTGGCACTGGCATCCGACAGGTTTCACCATGGCGTGGGCGCATTGTATCTACCTAAGAAGGTAAGTAAAAAGCAGTGATGCATTCTATTAAAAAACTAAGTTACTAAGTGTCATATACAACTGAAGGAAATTATTTAAGAGAGACTGATGTATTCAATCTGCCAGTTTTCTGTGCCAGTGAGGGATGTTATGTCAATAGACCTAAAGTAAAGTAGGCAAGCAAGCAGCTGTGAGGAGACAATACAGTAAGTAAGGGTAATTTGGGAACTGAAATTTCAACTTACAAGTGAACAAAAATCTCTTCCAGGGGAGATGGGAAGGTGGCTCAGTGGTAGAGTGCTTGCCTTGCATGCATGAAGCCCTGGGTTCGATTTCTTAGTACCACATAAACAGAAAAAGTTGGAAGTGACGCTGTGGTTCAAGTGGTAAAGTGCTAATCTTAAGCAAAAAATAAGCTCAGGGACAGTGCCCAGGCCCTGAGTTCAAGCCACAGGACTGACAAAAAAAAACTCTCCACCAGGTCACAAATCTAAATTCTCCAGGGATCAACTATCAGTCCTTTTCTTTTTTAAAAGCAATACTGATGTCTGAACTTAGGGTCTTGCACTTTCTAAGCAAATATTCTGCCACTTTGGACAAGCCTCCAGCACTTTTTGCTTTAGTTACTTAAAAAATAGGGTCTCATGTTCTTGCCCAGGCTAGCCTGAACTACAATGCTCTTATTTATTCCTCCCTTATTTATCCTTGCATAGCTGGGACAATAGGTATGTGTCACTGATGCCCAGCCTACTGGCTGAATTACCAACTTATTGCCCAGGCTGGTCTCAAGCTCTAATCCTCCCGATTTCTACCACTCAAGCAGCTTGGCTTATATGCATGGGTCACCATGCCTGGCTCAAAGCCATTTCTTCAAGATGTTGTTGTGACTGTGACACACTTGGTTTATACTGTTAGGAGGTTATTGCCATTCTTAACATTTTAATTTTTTTTCCCAAGTAGATTCATTTTAGTCTATCAATTTCCTTTTAACCGTGTTTAAGAAAATTTGCACAGAGGAATGGAAACTGTCAAAAAAAACTCCTTGGAGGTCAAAGCTTCTTAGAAGAAAGGCAACACATAGTCAAGAAGTCAGTGGTATGTATTGTTTCTTGGTACTTTAATTTGTTATGATCTCTTAGAAGAAAGTATTAAGGGAAAATACTGGAGGCCTGGGTCAGCTGCTTACCTGGGATGTGCTTTGTTGTACACTTTGCCGGCTAGACAAATGCTATGAAAAGAAAAAAAAAGAAAAGACTCACTCCACTGGGAAGAAAACTAATGTTTATTTAAGAAAAAAACAAACCTTCATGCTAGGTAGCCTACGATGGCTTTAGTATTCAGAAGCTCACTTAATTCAGATAATTTTGTTAGAAAATTTTATTTATACTTGATGGAGACAACTAAAGCTGAGAGTAAAGGAGTGATCTGTTGAAGGTCACATAGTAAGAAGGTGGTAAAGTTTGAATTCAAACTCTTGCCTCTCTATTTCTAGATATTAGCAAAGTCACAGGTGAATATTTGCTCCTGTATTATTGATTTGGCAATGTCTTCTCACACTGTACTATTTTCTGAGCTGTCATATACAGCCTCTTGAAAGAAAAGGCACTCTCTCTCTCTCTCTCTCTCTAATATTTCGCCATGATATTTCTTTGCTGATGACTAAATTTAGACAAAGCAGATTCCAATTCCAGCTATGTCACTCATAGGCTATGAGACTTTAATCAAGTGATTTATCCTGGCTAAGAGATCTTTTCTCAATTGTAAAACTGAGGTAAGTGCCTGTTTTGTCTTCTCCAGGAGGTCATTGTGAATTCAAGCCAATAATGGGAATCAGTTTGATACAATAGCTAGGAACCTGATTAGAGACTTACCTGGTTTTGAATTCTGACTCACATTTACCAGCTGTGTATTTTTCACCTTTAAAGCAGAGATAAAATGCTGTGCCTAATTCAACTTCATCTGTTATATACAGTGATAGTTATTCTATGTATTCTATATAACTAGTATAGATACCACAATTGGTATCTTTCTTCATAATTATAGAAAATTCATTCCCATTTAGAAGTAAATCCTTGCCAAGAAGACTGAGTTCACATATATTTAGTGCCTAGTGCTGGCGAACTCAACAGTCAGCATTTCAACCCTGCTTCCTTTTGGATGCTAGAGGAGTGGATCAACTTATTTGGTGAACTGCTTCACATCACCTGGGTGAAAAGAATACTGCTACAGTGGGATGGTTTCATTTCCAAATTCACATAAAATTTAACCCTAAATAAAATGAAAAATACTAACTGAAATGTCCTAGCTATATTTAGTATTAATACTTATGTTTATTATTAGCAATATTATTATATGTGTATCACTAACAATAATTGAGTGTTCATTCATGGAACTGTATGTACCGATAAGACATATTAAATATAAAATAAAGTCCCTAACAGTTAGGCAAATTATTGAATATAATGTATATACACAAAAGAAAAGTTTATATATAAAATTGGTTTTAAAAACTGTGTTTTTTGTACATGTGCCATTACTGGGCTTGCACTCAGTGCCCTTGGCTTGGCTTTTGCACTCACAGCTGACCCTCTACCAGCAGAGCCATGCCTCTAGTCCATAGAGCAGAGTTTCTAACATGGTGTCCATGAACAGAAACAAAGCACTAGAAATACTGTAATTTCTCTAAAACTGATTGTAAAAACTTTGTATGCTATCCATTCTTGCATATGGGAGGAACTTTCAAATGACCATCTATGACTCAGGAAGGGTTAGAAACCAACATTCTAGATGGTTAGATATTCGAGGGAGAGGTTAAGTGTTGTTCATCTTTAATCTCTGTACCTCACACCTCTAAAACTTCATAGATCATGTATAAAGCAAATGCTGTGCACATCAGTAAATATAAACAAGGAAATATACTGAAACAGACAATATTTGTATATTTCTTAGGAAAATTTCCTAGGTCCTCAACCAGGCAGCATCCTTGGTATCCTGTATGGTATCTAAAAGTATTCCATTTTTTGAAAGATGTATTTTTGTCTTAAAACAAGGTCTCACTATGTGGTTCAGGCTGGCCTTGAATTACAATCATCCTTCCTCAGCTTCCTGAGTACAGGGATTAGAAGCATGTTCCATAACAATTTGCTTAAAGACATTCTAAAACTTTCAATTCAGTATACATTCACTGAATATATGCTTCTCCAAAGTGAAGTATATCTAGTGCCTTAGTCTAAGCTTAACTCTCTCTTAAGATTCTACACTCTGTTTGTTCTACTTTAAAATGTTTTACATTTCTTTTGTTTACCTTTTAACTAGCCTGTAAAATATAATCTTGGTCATCAATCAACCCAACAGATTTTTATAATAACCAATAGACCTCTAATATCAGATGCTTAAAAGCTTTGTCATCTACAATGTTTTTTACTATTATTAATGTTAGGAGTACTCTGCTGCTTTTCTTTGTTTCCAAATCACTCTTGAGAGCTTTCTTACAATTGTGTATATAGACCCCTTTTGAGCATCCTACAGAGGATGTCTTGTAAAAACGGCATGCCTTTAGAAAGTTTGGTACATTATTTCCAGGTTCAATGACTACATGAACAACTGGCTCTTTGTAGCTTCTTACAGGTGTGTGGAAAGTGTTAGTATATTGTAGGCTGAAGGAAAACCAGCAGAGTAAACAGAGATCTGTCCCCTACACAATATATATGGTATATAGTATACTATCCCCTAGACAGTATAGTGTTCTATGGACTGGAGACATGGCTCAACTGGTGGAGGGTCAGCTGTGAATGCAAAAGCCAAGCCAAGGGCACTGAATTCAAGCCCAGTAATGGCACATATATAAGAAAATACAGTAGAGAAATACACCAACAGAATAAGGAAGAGTCTACTGAGACAGAGGCCAAGGATCCACTTCAAAAATACCATTTCTAAAACATAATCAGAGAATTATAAGCTATAATATTATCAAGGAAAAAAAATGACGTATACAGGAATAAGCTACTCCATGTTTGATTTCTTACCATCTTATAGAGGTCGGAGACACTAATCTGGTCGGAATCTACTACTTCAAAGTCCTTCCGGGGCACCAGGTCCAGGCCTAAATGTCTAGTAAAGAGAAAGACTACAATCAGCATGTATGTCCTCAGATTACTGACTTCTCTCTTTTTGTGCCTAGGAACCTGTACCTGTAAAAATAATGAGAACAGAGAGGTTCAGACGCTGCCCCTGTAGGGATATGCTTCTATTCAACAATATCTAATTGTTAAATGTAGCTACATTCAATTTGGATAAATGAGGCTAAATTTAAAGGTTAACATAATTCCAGTTATCAGTAACAAAAGGGTTTCATTTAGTATTGTATGTATAGCATAGTATTTGATTTCATTAAGGATGGATTTCTTCAGATCATTAATAAGCCATGCTTATTTTTCTATTTCTCCCTAGTCTAATAGTATATCCAAAGTTCAATTAAAAAAGTAAGTACACTTTTGTATTAGGATAAAAAATTACTCAGGTCTCATTTCAAAGACAACAGTAAAAATCACCTCCTTAAAGCTGCTAAACCTGAAGAGGTGTCTACTTTGGTTGCTTTATTTTCAAGTTAATTAGTACTGATATTGGTAAAGGGCTAAATAGATGTTAGCACTAATACCTTAAGGAACATTAGAACTTTTTTTTTTTTTTTGGTCTGTCATGGGGCTTGAACTCTAGACCTGGGCACTGTCCCTCAGCTCTTCTGCTCAAGGCAAGCACTGTACCACTTGAGCCACAGCGCCATTCCAGTTTTCTGGTAGTTTACTGGAGATAAGAGTCTCATGGATTTTCCTGGCTCTGAAAGCTGGGCTGGCTCTGAACCTTGATCCTCAGATCTCAGCCTTCTAAGTAGCTAGGATTATAGATGTGAACTACTGGCTCCTGGCTAGATTAGAACTTTAATCAAAGAATCATTACTTAAATATAATAGTATTTAGAAGCTCTAGCATAATTGTGAACAGGAAGAAAAATGTACTGGTAATTACTGGTTGACTGGCTGGTAGTATTAAGCAGTGAAAATAACTCTATACATAGCCACAACTTTTGAATTTAAAAACTATACATAAGTGGTAGAATGTTTGCCTTGTATACATGAGGCCCTGAGTTCGATTCCTCAGCACCACATAAGTAAAAAAAGCTGGAAGTTGTGCTATGGCTCAAGTGGTAGAGCACCAGCCTTGAGCTGAAGAGCTGAGGGACAGCACCCAGGTCCAGAGTTCAGGCCCCATGACCGACAAAACAACAACAACAACAACACTATACATAATTTAGTTCAATGAAAGTTCACACTTTAAGATAATAACTTAAACCTGGAGCTCAGTGGAGCTACAAGATTATAGACATGTAAAACCAAAATATGGTACTAGATGTGTGTGTTCATTTCTCAATTTTTATCTGAGAAGATCTATATCAGATACTTAACTCCAAAACAAGGGTTATAAATTATTGTGTCTTGGCTTGGCTTTTGCATTCACAGCTGACCCTCCACCAGTTGGTAGAGCACTTGCCTTGCATGCATGAGGCCCTGAGTTCGATTCCTCAGCACCACATAAGCAAAAAGAAAAAAGCCAGAAGTGGCGCTGTGGCTCAAGTAGTAGAGTGCTAGCCTTGAGCTGAAGAGCTGAGGGACAGCGCCCAGGCCCAGAGTTCAGGCCCCATGACTGGACCCAAAAAAAAATTTTTTTAAATAAATAAATTATTGTGTCTGGCAAAAGTATTATATGGAACTTTAGAAGGAAAATATTTTTTCTTGCAACTAGATTATAAGGTAGCTTTATAACATATTAGAAAAAATAACACTGTAGACTCTGTACATAAAATTCCATTTGTTTAAAATTAAGTCAGATGTACATCCAAATTACAGATTTATTTTACTTGTAATTTACAAAGTGTTACAGGAAAATATCTGAGGTTAAACATATTGTAACAAGATGGAAAAAATAGAAAAATCTATGTACGTATATGAAGAAGAGGTAAAATATATTAGCCTACACTAAAATGATAATTAAGAATTTAAAACTATATGTGTATTTTTTAAGCATGCAAGAAAAAAGAAAAAGCACATTTTTCTATTTAGAGATTTAAAACATTTTTCTATTAAAAGGTAACACATTATCCTTGTGAAAGGATTACAAACCTCTATCATATCTACAATTTGCATTATCCTTTTTAAAAAACTTGAGTTTTTAAAGATAAAAACATTTTTGCACTAAATGATTTTTTTTTAAGTTCATGATCTGAGATCAGTGGTATATACTAGCCTTAGCTTTTTCAGTTTCTGGTTTAATGACAATACTATCCCAGTGAATCTGACAACTGAAGTGAACATATTTCAATTTATAAGAGATTTTGTTTCTACTGGTATTCTGCCTTCTTATAGAGAGACTCAATTCCATTACCTTTTATTAGTCATTTAATTTCTCTCAAACAATTCCGACCTCTGGCTTCTAACACAGACATGCCACTGCAGTAGTGTCCATGGACAACAAAAGAAAGCTACAGCACATCAGTTTATCCCTCATAAAAAACAATTTACAAGCCGGGAGCTGGTGGCTCACGCCTGTAATCCTAGCTACTCAGGAGGCTGAGATCTGAGGATCTCGGTTCAAAGCCAGCCCAGGCAGGAGAGACTGTGAGACTCCTATCTCCAATAAACCACCAGAAAACCGGAAGTGGCGCTGTAGCTCAAGTGGTAGAGCGCTCGCCTTGAGCTGAAGAGCTGAGGGACAGCGCCCAGGCCCAGAGTTCAAGCCCCACAACCGACCAAAAAGAAAAAACAAACAATTTACATTAAAAAGCTAAAATTTTTGCAGGTATAGTCTCAAATATTTAAAATATATCACCTGCATAAAGAAAGCAGCAGAAATATAAAGTATTCTTTTTTTTTTTTTGGATCCGGTCGTGGGGCCTGAACTCTGGGCCTGGGCGCTGTCCCTCAGCTCTTCAGCTCAAGGCTAGCGCTCTACCACTTGAGCCACAGCGCCACTTCCGGCTTTTTGCTTATGTGGTGCTGAGGAATTGAACCCAGGGCCTCATGCATGCCAGGCAAGCGCTCTACCACTGAGCCACCTTCCCAGCCCCTAAAGTATTCATTTTTGTATTAGAAAATATAATTATAAATTTAGCCTTTTAAAATATATTCTGAACCTCTTGTATATCATTATCATTTTAAGTTTTCAAAAACAAGAACAAAGAAACTGAGTGTGAAGGTATACACCTATAATCCCAACACTTGCAAAAGGATTATGAATTTGAGTCCAAGTTGAACTACATAGAAAATGCAAGGCTAGCCTGGGCTAGACAGTGTGTCCATGAAAAAAGAAAGGAGAGGAGTAAGGGAAGGCGGGAAATAAGACAGTATATCATTAGAGGTCACAAAAATGTATAGTTGCCCCCTGACAACTGAAGGATTAGTTCTAGGATCTAACACACACACACACACATTCACTCACACTCACACTCACTTTCAATCCAAGGAAGCTCAAGTCCCTTACATAAAATTGCATTTTATTTGTAAATAATCTACATAATCTTTGTTCTTTTCACCATCTGTATATTATTTGTAATACCTAATACAATGTAAATGCTATGTAAACAGATGTAATACTACATGGTCTAGGGGGGGAAAAAACAGTGGCAACTTTAAAAAAACGCTTTACATCCATTATTGGTTGAATCCCTACATGCAGAAACCACAGACACAGAACTTACAAATATAGAATAACCTTATTATTAGGACCCATACACAAAAGGGGATTGAATATGTAATACAATCAAAAGAGCCATTTCAGATACAACAACTGAAGAAAGCTTCACATGGCATTAGTTGGTAGGGCTAGAAGTGAGTGTATATGCTGTTAAGACACATAGTGATGGGCCTGTCTGGAATCTATGCAAACTCTCACCTTAGCATTGTGACACCCTTAACTTGCTTGTCCAGTCAACTGCCCATCCACACATCCCACAAATAGTCTCTGAGGTTTTATAATGTACCAAACCAATAGTGTTGGATACTGGGAATATACTGCTTTTAAGTCAAGCACATGCTCTTATTCATCATGATTTCTCTCCTGTTAATAGAGCACTTTCCTGTTCAGGTAAGTAGCTTGAACACAGTACCTTTCATTATCTTTGGAAATCAGAGAATGATAATGGATGATATGGCAAAAACTAAACCTAAATTACATGTACTATCTTCAATCAGACTATTTTTAATGAAGAATGGCAAAAGTTAAACTGGTGACTATCCTTATTGGGAGGAGGCAGACAGAAAGAGTACACAGAAAAAAGCAATGTAATATTCACTACAAATTTCACCCTGGAAAAGTGGCTCTGTCTATTTTTTCCCCATGGGTAACTTCAAGAACAGAGACTGGTACATGCAGGGAATGGTCAACGTGGACTCTTCCCTTTTGTCACAATAAAGGAAGGTAATGCAGAAGAGTCATCAGGAGCATGGCTCTGATGTCAGATTGCTTTGCTGCCTCTTCCACCAAGTCTCACTGTCTGATCTACTGTAATGCTATTCTCAGCATTAATCCATGTAAAGCACTCAGTACTGTGCCTGGAAAGTGTGACTGCTGCTGCTATTACAATCACTACTATTATGTGTTATATCATTAGCTAAAATATAGCTTCAAGTTTGACTTCACTGTGTGGTCCAGGCTTGCCTCAAAGTGATAATGCTTCCTGCTTCAGGCTTGGAACTGCTGATGGTGTAGTTATGAACCACCCTGCCTTGCATTTTGTCCTTCCTTTCCCTTACTCCCCCCTCTATAATTTTTCTCCTTCTTCCTTTCCTTCTTCCTTTCTTGGATTTTCATTTATAACAACTCATCCATGTTACCACTTTCTTTTCAATTATGTCTCTCATTAAGGTAATTGTTGTTGAAACTAAGCAATACAAGTTTAGTTTGTAATCTGCAGGAAGTCTTCCCCAACAAGTTTTCTCCATGTAACTTTATAGGTAGTGGCAGAAAGGTTTATGGCTCAGCATTTCCCCTTTCATGATATTTGAAATTTGTATCAATTTCCAGTTATTTATCAGAGTTCTCTCTCTATCTCATATTGTACTCACCAGTCCTTGGTCAAAATCCTTAAAATTTTGCTGTCAATCTCTCTCTCTCCTTTTCTTCCTTCCCACCTTCCTTCCTCTCTTTCCCTCTCTTTTCCTTTCCCCCTCTTCTTTTTCTTGTCTATGATCTCTATACCTAGGACCTAGCACAATACCTTTCCTTGGTAGCCACTATGTGAATATATTTAATTAACAGGTTAGTTATTTTGTCATTAACTAAATTAAAACTATTTTCTGTGATCACTATACCTGTGATTCAGATGATGAAGCCCACGAGAAAAACATAGAAAATAGAATAAAATTAGAACATTATAATGAAGCATAAAATTTAAAGAATTTCATATAGATATTCAAAGCCTTAGAGGGCTTCATCAGAAAGAATTTTGAATCAATCCTTAGTCACAACTTTTTTTTTCTTTTCTTTTTTTTGCAGTACTGGGGTTTGGAGTTTCCCACTTATTTATTTTTTTGGTTGGTCGTGGGGCCTGAACTCTGGGCCTGGGTGCTGTTCCTCAGCTCTTCAGCTCAAGGCGAGTGCCCCTCACAGCTATTTTTCTAAGCCTAGAATGATCCCAGTACATGTTGTAGGCTCAAATAAATACTTATTCTTGAATTATTGGAATAACTCAATGGTGATAAGTCACACATAAGTGGGGAAACATTCAGCCTTTTGCTATAACATAGTAGTGTTTGGGGCTAAGAAGAAAGCAGAATCAGTAGTAATTTCTACTACTCAAACTCATTAGTATACAAGTACGCTGTAGCCTATACCAAGCAAATCTGTTCAGAATCAAGAAAGGATATAATTAAACAAAAATAGCAAGGATTAGAAGCTTTTAGTCAAAAAGTTTACAAATTAAAAATTTAGGGTTGCATTTTTTTCTGATTTCTACTAATGACTATGGACCAGATCCATTCAGACTTATAATAGCCCATGGTTCTTTCCTTTTTCCTGAAACAGTCTTCCACTTTTCAAGAGAACCTCAAGTCCATATAAAAATAGAAAGGAGCGGGCTGGGAAGTTGGCTCAGTGGTAGAGCGCTTGCCTTGCATGCATGAGGCCCTGGGTTCAATTCCTCAGCACCACATAAGCAAAAAGAAAAATGCTGGAAGTGGCGCTGTGGCTCAAGTGGTAGAGTGCTAGCCTTGAGCTGAAGAGCTGAGGGACAGCGCCCAGGCCCAGAGTTCAGGCCCCACAACCGGACCCAAAAAAAAAAAAAAAAAATAGAAAGGAGCCATCCTTAAAGATTCATCCCCAGAATATGTTAATGTGCCTCTTTGTGGAAGTTTTGGTTTTGTTTCTTCCTCCATTCATTAAAGTAAATGTATGTTGGGCTCTTTTGCTCCTATATTTTCTGGTTCTGGGAAATTCTCCTTATTTTTACAAAATTTTCTCTTTAGCCAGGGACTAGTGGCTCATGCCTCTAATTCTAGTTACTCAGGAGGCTTAGATCTGAGGATTGCAGTTCCTGGGTGGGGAAGTCCATGAATACTCTTATCTCCAATAAACTATTCAGGAAAAGCCAGAGATAGCACTGTGGCTCAAGAGCACTCGCTTTGAGCAAAAGCAGCACAGGGACAGAGCAGCTCAGGCCAACTTCAAGCCTCAGGATGGGAAGAGGGGTGGGAGGGGTGAGAATTTTTTTTCTCTTTATTGACTTTGTTCTTTATAATGGAAGTTACAATATTTGATGCAGAATCTTGCTTTGTCAACCTTTATGTTACATTTGCTCAATTATTTCTCACGTTTTTGTTTTACTTGCATCTAATTACATAAAATTTATCTTCTTATTCTGAATGCTTCGTTTTGGAAGTCATATTCTTTCTTTATCTTAGAATCTTATTCTCACAGTGGACCATTCTAGATTGATTCTCTTTGTGGATATTTGAGGACTGTGTTTAATTTTTTAAAGTTCTTTACAAATTTCTACTCTCTGGGGATAGGTCATTTCCTCTATGCCCAGAGCCTTGCACTGGGTTTACACCTTGGCTTTTTCTGCTCAAAGCTGGTATGTTACCACTGAAGCCATGCCTCCCATCCAGCTTTTTTGCTGGTTAATTGGAGCTAGAGTTTAGTAAAAAGTTTTCTGCTCCAATTGGCTTTGAATCTCAGTCCTTAGGATCTCAGTGTCCTGAATAGCTAGGATTGTAGGCATGACTCATTAGCACCCAGCCCCAATTCATTAATTCTTTTTTCTAGAAGTGAAAACAAGCTGAGATAGTTTATGATTAGAAACAGGAATGTCCTTTGCTAACTAGAACCAACCTCTATACCTAGAGCAAACTAAAAAAATAAAACCCTTAGTGGAGAATCTACCATTATCTATTAATCATTAAAGCAAAGCATTGATCAAGTTTAAATTCCCTGAAGACTGCATTATCATAAGTAAAACTGAGAGATGCCCAAGTAATATTTATACTTACTCATTACCCCAGTCCAGGCGCACCGTGATGTGCCGTTTAACCTCCCGCACCTGATCCTGAGTCAAATGACCAGACAGTAGCTGCCTTCGAAGGTCAATAAGTTCATTCATCACATGACGTAGCTTGTAGAAAAGATCTACTTTGTGTTTCTGAAAGGGCATTTTTGTTGTTGAGTGAAATATAATAAGGGATATGGAAAGAGAATGAAAAGAGAAAGAAAAATAGTTAAACTATGAAAAGTGTTCATTTCCTGAACCATAAAGGCAATGTAAAGAGGAGCTAAGTTAAAAATCTTAGTCTATGGAAAATTAAGTACAAGAATACATCTATAACATCTTTAGCCACAGAAAGTCTTAAAACTCTTCAGTTCCTACTATCTAAAATTTGTATATCATGACATCTAACAAATTAACAGAATGGATCTGCTTCATGCAAAAGTATGATCGCTGCCTCTCATTTCACAGTAAATCAAAGTTACTAAGCTTAATCAGAATGATAACTTACACAGGAGACAAAAGTGTTTTCTCTAGCAGAAGCTACAATGCACTCAAGAGCAAAGACTTCAACCACCCGGCAACCAAGTTGAAAGAGGGGGAGGGAGAATCATCTGCCCTATTTTGAAGTACTGAGGTTTCAAAATAAAGCCAGTCTCTGGAGTAAGACTAATTTCTTGGTTTCTAGGCCTCATTCTAGCTTTTTAATTAGCCTTTCTAAACAGTCTGTGTCCCTAGAGCCAGAGATTTCTAGTCTTCTCAGTTTAATAAAAAGTATCACCTTTACGAGAGTTAAGTAGAAACATCATACTGAACATAATTACAGACATTATAGTGGTTATTACCTTACAAGTAAAAATCTAAGTGCCCTGAGAGCAGATGCTTCAGAAGAGATTGCTAAACCAAAGTCTATTTGCTCATAAGCAAAATCTTGACTTTTGAATATCTAGGATTTTGTTTCTGTTAGAAGTATAATTTTGTATAATTAAAATTCTTGGAAAAATCTTGGTCAATAACCAACCAATGATTATTTTTGAAGACAGATAAATATGCACTACAGGATAAGTAAAACTCGTATGTAGTAGTTACTAAAATGATCTAATGATGGTGGTAATAGAGGGTTGTTTTTTTCTAAGCAGGATGGGTTCTCATGTAACTAAGGGCTACCCTCAAACTTGCAATCTTCCTCACTCAGTCTCCTGAATGCTTAGATGACAGGTGTACACCACCATGTTCAGTTTAGGGGCTCAGAGTTTCTGTACATAGAGGTACCAGAATCTACTGACAGATTAGATGCAGATTAGGAATGGATTCAAGGATCATTTTTATGGCCTGGGAAACATGTCTGAAAAAGGAAAAATAGGTTCAACTTTGAATGTGGTAAGTCTGACTTAGGTTCCAACACTTAGAGGTCAGGAAAGTAAGAGATATCTAAGTAGAGGAAACTAAGAAAGAGTAAGCAGTGAGGTAAGAAGAAAAGTAGTAGGGAAATATGTCCTGAAAGCCAAATGAAAATTAGAATTTAAGAAGGATTTTGTCAAATGCAGGTTAAATAGAGAATGATAACTGCCCAGGAAAGTTGGTATCGTAACAGCCATCAATGACTCTACAAAAATACTTTTGATAAAATAGTTGGAGTTCGAGAGAGGATGTGAGAGAAGGAAGTAGAGAAAGAAGATCCCATATAACTCTTAAGAATTAGCTGTTAACTGGAAGCTGAGAAGGGGGTAGTAAAATGGGGTTGTGTGTTTAAGGGAGGATTTTTTTTTTAATGAAGCTAAATTCAGACTATTTATTTGTCTGATGAAGTAAATGACCAAGTAAGAGAGAAAAATTGATGATTCGAGTGTTAAATTCTTCAGTAGAAAGGAGGAGATAGCTCCTAGGACAAAAAGAGAGGGTTTGGCTTAGAGATACAATTGTTCTTTTCTTATTTGAACAGGACTTGCTCCAGCATCCTCACAGATATCAAAACCCTAGCATGTGCTACAATTTATATAAAAAGGCATCACATTTGCATATAACCTACCTATATCCTCCTATATACTTTATAAATCTCTAGATTATTTAAGTTGCTTGAACTCATGGATACTGTACTATCACAGGACGGGAAAGTCATAGAATGTGAGCAGTGGTACAGAGTTCTAAGATTTGATGAAAGGACTAAATTTTTTCCTCTGCTTCATTCTCAGAGAATAAAAAACAAGATCAACAACATCAAGTGAATGGAGTGGGAAAGGGTATTCTGAGGTTTGAGAATTGAGGAAAAGATGTAATATGGATTCCCCCCTCTGGTAACAGTAAGTTAAATTGACAGGGGAAAGGTAGTTTAATTGCTGGGTAGCTTTGAGATTTGTGAACACTAATTATAAAAAAAGGTTGTTGGCTTTTTCTATCTAAGTATACTGATAGCCAAGTGTACTGATACTAAAGCACCACATATAAGAGTCTCTCAAGACTTATCTGGGCTGGCCTCAAACTATTATCTTCAAGTTTCACTCTAAGTAGCTAGGATTATAGGTGTCAACAACCTGCACCCAGCTTATAATCATTTTTAAAATTAGAAATTCACAAATTCAAATTCTATTTTTCAAAGATGATTACAACAGCTCCTAGTGCTCTTTCCCAATAGTATGACATTGACAGTCCTTTAGCATGGAATACAGTTGATTTATCCATGTACTTCAATCTGTACAAACCTTGAGATGGTTCTGATCAAAAGAATGTGACATCAGCTGGGCACCGGTGGCTCATGCCTGTTATCCTAGCAACTCAGGAGGCTGAGATCTGAGGATCACAGTTCAAAGCCAGCCCGGGCAGGAAAATCCATGAGACTCTTATCTCCAATAAACCACTAGAAAACTAGAAGTGGTGGTGTGGCTCAAGTGGTAGAGCACTCGCATTGAGCTGAGGAGCGCAGGGACAGCACCCAGGCCCAGAGTTCAAGCCCCACCACCAATCAAAAACAAAAGAATGTGACATCATTGAACTAGGTCAGTTCTTAGCCCTTAACTAGTCAGGCTATTTCTGTTTGGTGCCTCTTGGAATACATGAAGAAATGGAGGTTCTCTTTTAGAACCAACAAGCATACTGTCAAAAACCCAAACAACATGTTGAAGCCACAAATAGGCACTTTGTTCACTGGTACTGATTGAAAGTGCCAGCCAATGAGGAAAAAAAAAAAAAACCAGTTAATGCACATCTTTGCAAAAATTTAGAACACTGATGACAAAGAGGTGATCCTAAAATTTTTCATGGAAAATGAGTTATATATGATTTACAACAGAATGACATTCTATTGACATGCCAGAAATATCTTAAGATCAGAAGCTGGAAAATTACGAAACAATTCTGGTATGGGTGGGTGGGTGAGTTGGATGGTTAATTTGTGGCAGTATCAGGTTGGCCTAGAATTTGCTATTGTATTGTATTGCTACTGTATTTGAGCCCAGACCTGGACTCAAACCCTCAATCCTTTTGCTCCAGCCTCTTGAGTATATCAACATACTTGGCCAAAGTCTGTATCTTACTTATAACAAATAATTTTATGTCCAGTCAAACTACCAATCAAAGGTAAAAGTAAACTAAATACATTAAAAATATGCAAAATACTTAGCAATATTTTCTATCACATATTGTCTGCAGGAAGGAACAGAGAAAGAATAAGGAAATAAATCAAAATTAACCCGATAAAATACTTTAGAATGTTTGAACATATTGAAAGGATTTTATTTTTGCCACAGCGTTGGGACATAGAGAACAAGGAAAACAAGGTAAATTGAAAAAGAGGAATACTCATTATGAGAAAACTTATACATGAAAGGAAATGCAAGCAAGCACATGTGAGAATAGTTATACAGGCATGCATTTTTAAAATGCTGATACAAGTATGGATGGAGGAGAAGAACATATATTTTAGGGCATGAACATTCAGAGTTTAATGTTTGTCTTCAAAGACAGAAAGATAATTAAACGTGGCCAGAACTAGAAAAAATATCTATTAGGAGAATATCATTTAGGCACATTAAAGAACTAGCTAAGGGCTGGGAAGGTGACTCAGTGGTAGAGTGCTTGCCTTGAATGCATGAGGCCCTGGGTTTGATTCCTCAGCACCACAGAAGCAGAAAAAGCCGGAAGTGGCACTGGCTAAAGTGGTAGAGAGCTAGCCTTGAGCTGAAGAGGTCAGGGACAGTGCCCAGGCCCTGAGTTCAGGCCCCAGGACTGGCAAAAGAAAAAAGTTGAATTTCAATGATCACTACTATAAAAGGCTTTTCTTCACTCCCCACCGCAAATGGGATTGTTATGAATCACAAAGGTAAGAAGAATCTGAATCCAGCCTTCACTGATGCTTACTAATTTAAATATTAATAAATGAGACTAGTAAACCCTGCTTTAGTGTAACGATCCCCTGTCAGCATCAACACAAAAGCCAGATCATTTATATGTCTCATTTTCAGAGCAGATGGGAAATGAAACATTCCACAGTAGGCAGCCCTGGAGAAAGCTTTTTCTCTTGACTACAGCATAGCATCTGTCCATTGATCGCTTTCACACACTGGTGACAATACATACAGGGCAGCAATGATAGCAGCTACCCTGCCAACCAAGCTCCTTTAGGATGTGAGTCATCCTGCTGCAGCAAAGGAAAGCAGACAGACAGAAAGTACACATTTATGTGCAGGTTGTCTGGAAACACAGCAGGAGCAGCCCTTTCACATAGGGCCATGATTCCAAGGGCACCAGGAGTTTCTTATTAAATCCTACTTCTGGTTTAGTTTACTTTAGTTCTCTGTTCACCTACTGGGGAGAAAGCTGGGGAATTTTTAAGTAAAAGTGCAAACAATGCACCCCCTGCACTTTCCAAGCGCACCTCAGGTTTATCACTATCAAAAATTATGAGAATGAGCCGGGCGCTGGTGGCTCACGCCTGTAATCCTAGCTCAGGAAGCTGAGATCTCAGGATCGCGGTTCAAAGCCAGCCCGGGCAGGAGAGACTGTGAGACTCCTATCTCCAATAAACCACCAGAAAACCGGAAGTGGCGCTGTAGCTCAAGTGGTAGAGCGCTCGCCTTGAGCTGAAGAGCTGAGGGACAGCACCCAGGCCCAGAGTTCAAGCCCCACGACCGACAAAAAAAAAAAAAAAAATTATGAGAATG